TATTTATTTCTGAAATAATGGTTATATTTAATATTATTTAGATTAAGCAGAATCTGAATGACGGGGTAAGAAATTGTGTGGTAAAAGAAAAGTGTGGTTTGCAAGATGATGTTGTGAACAGGATTAAGAAAGGAATACTTCGGTTCGGTTTGGTTTGGTCATGTGGAAAGAATGAATGAAGAGTGACAAAGAAAATTTTTGTTGCAGAACTGAATGATGGAGTTGGAAAGGGACATTCTAGGCGAAAATTTATCGACCAAATTAGCGATTTATCGAAAACGGGCTAAATTAGGTGTACTCTTAACTGACGAGCATGTATGCGTAGGTATATGGATGTGAAGGAGGAGAGAGTGGTGTGTCAGGATCATGCCAAATGGAAGTCTGTAATCTCTGCCTACCCCTCTGGGTGAAAGGCGTGAGTGTTTATATATGTATGTATGTAATTAAATTAGAAATGGATGAACCAAGCTACAGATATTCCTAAAGTAGAAATATTTAAAAAAATAGTCAAAAATATGCAAAAAATTGAAGAGCAAAGTTAAACTTTTAATTTAAACGCAACCTATCTTTATTGATATTGCGTAACAATTAACTTCAATTCAGTTCAAACTAGCGACATCTGGCGAGCGAAAGATTATTAGCCCGCATGATATTTAAGAAAGGTTATTGTAAAGGCAATTCCATAAAGAAAATTATACTCAAAGTAAAAAAAAAATTGTTGAATTTTCAATCGCCGTTTAGAAGGTACGAGTACAAGTTTTTTATTCCATTATACGCTTCCAAATTTTTAAGCGTTGGAAAAAAATATCTTAAAGACTATTTGCATTAAAACAAAAGCATTTTAAAGAAGAAAACTTCGCTTTAAAATTGCTTAGCGTATTTATTAGCAAGCTATAGAGTGCAGGTAAGCATGGCTTCGTACAGTCTCCAAACGGCCAGGGCGACGTTATTAACCACGAAAGGTCACGTGCATTAGTAGTTTCTCTTGACGTTATTTATTTGAATTTTAAGTAACCATGGTGATGTATACAGTGTCACGATTCACGAAATCAAACTAAGAAGAACAATGATAATTCTTTTCATCGCTATGAAATAGTTCGATAAGAAAACACTGATTTTAACAAAATATAATAATTTGTCAAAGGGTATATCGGCTGCGGTGACACAGTATTCGGGTTTTGTCCAAATTAGAACTATATCTGTACCAAGTTGTACTCTAATATTTTTTAACCTTTCGAGTGCCAAAGTCACCTACATTTGATCAGCACTTGCGAGCCTTGTGCGCCAACGATATCTATAGTCGACAAAAAACCCGACCCACAAAAATATGAAATATAGATATTGAAAAATTATTACTGGTATTTTAATTCTATATGTCTCAATATAGAATATCCCAACAACACGTGACATGTGAGTATAACAAACACAGAATACTAAGAGGATACTACGCATATAACAAACAAGTCTCCTAGAGCCAAAAGTATTTAGAAACATTGAACTAAATACATGGATTTTTTCCAAGCAAATACTATGTCCAGCACGCCAAATGCGTCTATGGTTGATCGCTAGTGTCGTAATGCGGTAGGCATAGATTTTGAAAACTATTCAAAATTTATCTCAAACGTGTCATTTGTGTCAATTATAGTAAATACTTGAATAAAGCAAAAGGTAAAAAACATAAAATTATCATCAGCTACATGAATAAACACATGTCATCAAATCAACTTCGCATAATAAATCTAATATCTCAACTCTGACGCATCCTTAGCGCGTCATCGATTATCAGTTCACTGTTCTCTGGGCGCCTTGGTCAAAGATAGATGACACCCTGATGACGTCATAAGCGAATAGTGGAAAAAGCATTGCAGTGCAACAAGAACTTTTTGTTTTCGAAGTAAAAATAATTCTGATCATGTTTATCTATTTTTATAATGCAAATAGTACATCTTTTTCTCTTAAAATGCGAATTGTAATATTCTTTAGAGAAATAAATCTCTTAAACGGAGCATCATCAGCATCATACTTCTGAAAATTAGGTACCGTGAGTAGACCACAAATTATAAAAGGCTAAAAATCGATCTAACTATTAAGCTAAGATCTAAAATAGCGTACGATTCAGTACTAAGCAGCTCTTTTGTTCCCAGTGGCAACGTTATTTTTCTAACACTCGCGTCTTACAGCATAGCCGTACAAGAGCTACCTACCTAATGAAAAATGGATCTTTAATGGAATATAGCCACGTAGAAATAAAAATATGATCGTAATTAAGTACTCATATATTTAATGATACTTTCAACTAAGTTTAAAGGTAAAAAATGCACGACTAATAATAATAATAATAATGACTACGGTTCTTACGGCGCCACGATCGAAGGCGGATTCGCATAGATCTTGACGAGTTACGCCAAATAGTAAAAATAAATTTTTTCGATTACTCGTTATCGTCGTAGTTTCCGAGATATCGATACACAAAAATAGAAAAATGAAAATAAATTACTAATGATTGATGATGTGTGTATGTTCATCGTGTCATTCAAAAATATATTGATATTAAAATGATTTATTTTTATTTCTTACGTAATAATTTTATCTTGTAAGTAAACTGCAATCAAGCAAACAAAACGACCATTATGTAATAAGTTATACCTCTATTACACTACCCTGAATCAGGATCCCGACGCCCTGATTCAGGGTGGTGTAATAAGAGAAAGGGAGTAAGGGTCCCTAATTAGGGCGTCAAAGTGTACCTGGTCTACAGTGCCCTTCCACCGTGCAGTGTAATAACACTTAAGGGAGTTAGGGCACTTATTCGATGCGCGACTAGGGATGTAAACGATACATCAATTCTTTCAAACATCGATATATCGTTCATAAACATGGTTCTTCTCGAGCTATGTTTTATGAACGATATTCTGCCGTCGAAGTTTACGAAATAACCAACTATTCGAAGGTATAAAATTCCGTACGTTAAAAGTTGCGAACGATGATTATTACGAATTCTATGTTGGCAAAAATAAATATTCGAAACAAAATATGTCAAAGTTAGATAACGTCTAAATTTTTAGAGTTTGAAGGTTTACTAGTATTTATTAGAAATAACTCAATCCCGAAAATTTTAATTACGAATCAACAAACAGGTGAATGGTCTTTCAGCCGAAAATAAATATACTTGAACTTCAGAAGTACATTTGTCTTCTATCGGTAATTCCATTTTCGATGTAAACTTGTAGTTATTTTTATTGTGATAATAATTAAGATAAGTTTATAAATATTGAAAATGGATTGAATTTGTTTCATTTTCTTATTAATAATTATATATATTTAAATGACGATAAAAAACATCGAAAAAATCGATATATCGTACATAAGCTTTGATGCTTTAATGAGCGATGTTGCATTCTATAGATGTGCTTACTTGGAAATATTACGACTCGAGTTAACTCAAGTTCAAATTCACACAACTCGAACTAAACTCGAGTTATGCAACTAGAGTTAGTAGGACGATACACAGTAAATGATTTGTTACAATGACTTTAAAAATACATCCCTATGACTGAGTAAGGGCGTAAAATCAGGGTAGTGTAATAACTGACGTCCCTAACTAGGGCGACGCGAACCCTTCATTTAGGGCCTTGATTTAGGGTGGTGTAATAGGGCAATTAATACTTTTTACGGGGTACAACTGCGTCATCTTATATCGTATCAGTATCTATAGAACACCCGCCGACGCTTGGCTTAATGGGCAATGAGTGGTACGCGCACTCTGTAGCTTGCTTATTTATTCCCCAATGGCCCTTTCATCCTTTTACGTGCGACCGGTCGTGTCCGCACGCAACCGGCATATATTTTATGAAGCTAATGGCCGTCTTTCACTCTGTCGCGTGCGGTTGGTTGCTTTTTCGAAACGCCCGATCGGCGCATAGACCCGACCAACACTAGCGCGCCCAGCGTTTTCCGGTCGGCGCGCGTGTCAGTTTTATGTACAGTTAAATATAGAGCATTTAATACGAGAAATCCTATCACCTAGAAAAGGATATTATTTTATTTTATTATTATTGAAGGCTTACTTTACTTTTTTATAAGAGCAAGAAAGTATACACCCCGAAACGCCAGTACGTATTGACAAACTTCACATGTCTATGAAATACTTCGTTACGTTCTGAAGTAATTGAATATTTTTAATTTCTCGTAGTTGTGAATACAGCATTACGAATGTACCACTGAACATACGCGTCGAATTTATGTGTTGCATGAATAATTTTCCATTTCGGTACAGAAACAAAAATAAGTTTTCTTTTTATTAATCGCGTCCATGACTGTACGTAACCAGCTCAGACGAGTGCGCACGTGGAAGTGTAAAACTATGAATGTGAAAGTCCAACACGCTATAGTAAGTAAGGAGCATAGAATACTATAATACATACATAATATAGTATTTTTAGGTAAGGAGCCTAAGTTCTGAGCAACTTGGCCATAAAGAATATAATCACCGCATTTTAGACTTGGCAGCACTGTACTAATATCACGAAATGTATCCTCTTAATAGTCTGTGGTCATGTACAAATAAACAGAACAGAAACCATAGATAAGTGTGTAGAAACAAAAAAAAATATTCTGATACTGGTATGTTGAATTGTTGAAATTCGGAAATCCAGAGTTTGCACTTTCCAGAGAACAGTAAGAAAAATATTATAAACTCTCCGCTGGAAGTTCTGTGAATTTTCTGTGTAGTTCTATGAGAATTCTGTGTTGTAAACCTACTAGTACTTCTTATTAGTTTGTGATTGTAAACCCTCATAACTTAAGTTAACCTTGAATACTCCAAAAATAAAAAACTTGAAATGATCTTTGTTGTAAGCGATTGCTAAACGTAGTGAAATAAATGTAGCTTTCAGTACTTACTCGGAGAGCAATAGTGCTCTGCTGTATCTCTCACTTACATTCCCCAAAATATTCTTTGTTAACATTTTCTCTGATCAAAAGTAAAAACATTTTGTAACATGATAGATATAAACAAATATCTTGAAAATCAACTCGCACTTGCCAAACAAAGAAACGATGATAAGAACAGAAACATCAACACAGTTACAACTAAAAGCAAACTTGCTGCCGACAGCATTTCCAAAAAGCAAAACAAAAACTTTATGAATGATGATACAAAGTTAGGGAAGAACCATTTCGCAGAATCACAGAAGGCTAGTATGTCCAAGGATTTGAGTAATGACGATGATGTAGATTACTTATCTTCCTGTGAAGAAGACAATCAAAAGGTTCAATCATCACTATGCATTCGTAGCAAACAAAATGTAAAAAAAATCATTGATGATGGTGATACCAAAGTTTACAAAAACCGAATTGCCAGTTGGAACAAAAATCTTAAAGCTGTTTGTTCAGGTAGCAGTGATGAATATATAGATTACTACACAGCAGATATTCAGTATGTTTTAAATGGTAATCCAGACATAGAAGAAAATCATGAACTTCAGAATGGATTATATGTTCCAAAATACATTTGGAAACAATTGTATAAATATCAAAGAACAGGAGTTAAATGGTTGTGGGAGCTACATCAAGTGCAATCTGGTGGTTTATTAGGTGATGAAATGGGCTTGGGGAAAACTGTTCAAATTATTGCTTTTTTAGCTGGACTTTCTAAATCTAACAGTGGATCATGGAATGGTCTCGGACCTTCAATAATTGTGGCTCCAGCTACAGTCATATACCAGTGGGTGTCTCATTTTCATTATTGGTGTCCTTATCTTAGAGTTGCTGTCCTTCACCATTCGGGATCACATAACGGAAACCATAATAAACTGGTAAGAAATATTCAGGCATCTCATGGCATATTATTAATCACTTATGCCGGTGTGGTAAAATATATTACAGATTTGTTGTCTTATAATTGGCAATACATTATACTAGATGAAGGCCATAAAATAAGAAACCCAGATACACAAATCAGTAAATTTGTGAAAAAATTTAAAACTCCTCATAAATTACTCATAACAGGATCACCAATGCAAAACAGCCTGCAAGAACTTTGGTCTCTTTTTGATTTTATGAGGCCCGGACTTTTAGGAACATACACTGCTTTTATGGAACATTTTGCTGTGCCCATAACACAGGGGGGATATGCAAATGCAACAGAATTACAGGAAGCAACAGCTTTAGAGATAGCCAAAGCTCTCAAAAATATAATTACACCCTACATGCTGAGGCGCACTAAAAGTGAAGTACAAGAACTTATAAAATTACCTGACAAGAATGAGCAAGTATTGTTTTGTGCTTTAACCCCAGAACAGAGGGATCTATACATGGGTTATTTATTGAGCACAACAGTGAGAAGTATCCTTGATAAAGAAAGTAGATTTGGAGACCCACTACGAGCTAGAGTACTTGTTGCATTGTCTACATTGAGAAAAATTTGCAACCATCCTGACTTATATCTGTATGAAGCTCAAGAAGAATGTGAACAAATAAATGAAGAAGTTTTTGGCCACTGGAAGAGATCTGGAAAAATGACTGTTGTTCAGTCTCTTTTAAAAATTTGGCAGAAACAGGGACATAGGACTTTAATATTTTCTCAATCAAGAGCTATGCTTTGTATACTAGAACAGCATTTACAAAGTCAGGGTTTTAAATATCTGAAAATGGATGGTACAGTTAGTGTCAGCCTCAGACAAAATTTAATTAAAACTTTCAATGAAAGTAAAGAATATTTAGTTTTTCTTGCAACAACAAGAGTAGGAGGCTTAGGGGTCAATCTAACTGGTGCTGACAGAGTTATAATATACGACCCAGATTGGAACCCCGCAACAGACAATCAAGCAAAAGAAAGGGCTTGGAGAATAGGTCAACAAAGAAATGTTACTGTTTATAGATTACTTTCAGCAGGTACAATAGAAGAAAAAATTTATCAAAGGCAAATTTTTAAAAACTTCTTGAGTAACAAAATTTTGATTGATCCTAACCAAAAAAATGTTTTGACAACCAGTACATTGCAAGGGCTCTTCACACTTGAAGAACCTAATTGTGAAGGGGACACAGAAACTGCATCACTTTTCAAGCACACTAAGGTAAACATTAATAAACATATCAACAGGGATAGTGAGAAAATTCACTTGAGTGATAGTGTAACATTTTCAAAAAAAAAACTAGATGCAATGAAAAGGATGGCTAGGGAAATAAGTAAAAAAATTTCCAATGATACTGTAGCGTCCAAAACGGACGAGGATCCACGACAAAGATACAAAAAGAAAAGAGAACAGCTTTTAAATCCACCTGTAGTTCAAGAACCTGAAATTAATTTAGTTGACGATAAAGTAAGTAATATACCATTTGAAAGTGTATTATCTGAGTTAGATATTATTAACATGCATGTTAAAGAAAACTATGAAGAAAACTTGCTAAAAGAAGTATTAAGCAGTCAAGATGAAGAAATTGAAAATAAAGAAGATAAAAACTGTGAAACAGATCTAAATAATGTAGTAAACTCAATACACCATGATAAAATTATATCATTACAAGAGATAACTAAAGATACAAAAATATCAGAGGAAAACACTCACAAAAGACAGCATTCGCCGGAACAAAGTATTGAAAATTTGGTTGCAATAAAAAAAATAAAAAAAACAAAGCACAAGCAAAAAAAAAATAGAAATGTTAGTGATGATGATTATGTACTAAGTAAACTTTTTGCCAAATCTGCTGTTAAGAATGCTTTACACCATGACGTTGTAGTGGGATTAGCTGAAAAAGAAAAGAGACATCAAATGAAAGAAGAAGCTTCGAAAAGAGCAAAGAAAGCAGTAAGAGCTATAAAATTTTCATCAAAATAGATATTATACACATTTTTAATATTATATAATATTATGATCTGTATTATGCCAGTATATTCTAAGTCTATGATCTGTATGTACCTCTATTAATGAAGCTTTAAACTAGAATTAATAATTATTAATTTGTAATAAGTTAAATCTTAAGTATGATTAAAATATTTTTATAAGCTCAAGTTGCTTTTAATTATTAAAAGAGTTCTAATAAGTGCTTTCTATTATTACTTGAAAGTATGGATGATGTAAATTACTTATTGCCTGTTGTAAGTTGACATACTTCACATGTTGTGGAAACATTAGCTATCCACTGCTAGACAGCACTCATAATGTGAAGAAAACGCTTTTTGTTGTTTAATTTGTCCCATTTATTCTACAAAGTAATTAAATATTTGTAATAAATTAAAATTGACTTAAAGTCAATTTTAATTTATTACAAATGCTCCCTGGATAGTGAAATATCAGTGCTGATAATGCTTGATCTTAATGCTAAGTTTACACACTTGCCAAGTCTTAGCAAGCTTCCACAAGTTCAAAGTTTATACTTGATCCATTGTCATCTGCATGGGCTTTCTGCCCAGCAGGTTTCGGGCCTCGGGGCATTCCCCATTACCCGGGTAATCTTTACAGCACACCAGTGTGCCTGTCTTGGGAGCCATTCAGAAACGACATTGTTGTCAATCTAGTTTGGCGTATTCCGCGCCCCTAGGATGGATCTGCCGAAAGATCAGCGGTCTCAAAGCCCTACGAGGACTGGACGTAGACGGGTCTCAATGTGGAGCCAATTCCACCGACAGGCGCTCCTGATAGCAGCGCTCCGGGCCTAAGGAACTCTCTCCTAGTTGTATATTAAAGCCATCTCGGCATTCGTGGCGTATCTCGCGCCTCTGGGAAGGGTCAGTGCCTTCCCACGTGAAGTTTCCACGGAGACGGATCTCGTCGTAGGTCCGATATGACGGACAAGTGTGCGTTCTCCTGACAGCAGCACACCGGCCTCCGGAGCTCGCTTCCCCAGCATATAGGTTAAGGCAGCTGCAAGGTTATATTATCCCAGGAGTCAGGGGCTATCTCGAAGCTTCCCGGAGACCAATCCCGACGTGAAGCCTAGTTCGCTCCAACACGACACGTGCACCCGCTGCTAAGTGACGCGACGCGAACTACTCCCTCCCAGGCGGGAGCCGACAACCGGCGGACGTGACCGGCGACGAACGCGGTCCGGACACGACTCAAGTTTATACAAATGCTAGGCTTGGATTTGAGAGTTATTCATATGCTTCTGAATGCGTCAGTGCCTTGTTTTGGCTATTGTATATTATAAATACAAAACTCTTAATACTTTTACTGGTTTTTGCATTAATTCGGACGACTACTGGCATCTGCCAATTTTCTATATATATATAGTTGACGTATTTATGATTCCAAATGCATGGTTCATTCTAGTCATATTCTAGAAAATATTGTGGCCTCGTTTGGCCAGACTTATTTTGCAATAGAGCTAATCGTTTATCCGTCATGCGATCACAAGCGGTACTAAGCGTTTAACGTTTTACTCTTTCGGTTTATACAAAGTTGAGGTATTCTATGCTAAGCGCGCAGCAACGTGTGAATGGGTCGCAAGCGTTTGTCACAAGAGCCCTTTGATTTTTGTTTAAAACCGATATTTTTTCACCCTACAAACGGGTTCCCGACTTGTACCGGAGGGCTTAGTAGCCATGGCTTGGTCACCTATGGTGAATTAAGAAAAAACGCACATTGCTGGTGAAGGATTGGCCAGATGTGGCCACTCCGAGTGGGCTTGGAAGCTCACTTCGGATTCGAATGTGTTTTGGTGGGCTGCGACGAGAGAGATGTCCTCCGCTCCTACCGCTGCAGCCATTGTGAAAAAAACCGACAGTACCGGAGGTGCGACAAGCTCATACAAGTTCACACAAGCCAAATAACTCCGTTTACACGTTTATGCCTGTTGACGTTTGCTGAAACTTGGAATGCTTGTAATCCCGGCATTAAATAGTAGATATGGGCCGAATATTCGGCCGAACATTATTCGGCAGGATTACCCCGATACCTAACCAATTTATGTCGAAAAACTTGTTACCGTAAAGCGCGCTGGATTAGCTGCCCCTCGCTCCCCCGCCACACCTGACATGTTATTGCATCAAGCAAATTGCCAGCACATGATTATGTTTTTACTATTTTTGTGAGAAAAAAGCATTTCGTTGATATTCTTAGTGAAAATTGATAATTATATGATACTAGCTGTTACCCGCGGCTTCGCCCGCATGGTCACTGGGAAATGAACTATCCATTGCTTTTTGAATTGAAAGAAAACTGAGTTTTATAGATTTGTCAGAGATGCAGCCATTAAAAGGAAACTTGAGCAAAATTGATTCGTCAGCCTATTTAAATGTTTTGAAACGCAGCGTATAGGAAAGCATGAAAATAGCCTGTTTATTCCAAATGGAAATGGGATATTTTTTTAATTAAAGGAAACTGAGCATAATTATCCGTCAGGGATGCAGACTGTTGAAAAGAATTTGAGCTAAATTGATTCGTCAGAGATGCAGTTTTCTGAATTGAAAGGAAACTGAGTCAAATAAAAGATCCGTCCGAGATGTAGCCTTTTGAGTTGAAAGGAAACTGAGCTTAATAGGTCCGTCAGAGGTTCAGCATTTGGAATTGAAAAGAAACTGAGCTAAATAGGAAATTTTGAATTGAAAGGGAAGATCTGCCGGGAATTCTGATTAATTGATTGTGGGAATTTTGAAAAAAAACTAACTGAACACTATTTTAAGACGCTACTGTACACAATGTTATATGTTTTTCCATTCCGGGAAAGAATGTGAGAGATTTTGGGCATTTGACACATGCGAACATGCTACATACAGCTGACCATGAGAGAAGCACGGTTTTTCTAAGTTGACCCCCGCTACCTGTAACGTTTGCCCTTGCGCTTTATTAATTGTCATTGCGAAACTGAGCTTAATAGGGAACTGCAACCTTTTGAATTGAAAAGGAAGATCTGTGGGAATTATAGGGATCCGTGGTATAATAACATTTTCACCTTTTCCTACGCCTGTCAAAATTGTAGCACCGATTATGTTCCGTCCAAGATGTGTCACACGCAGCCTTGTCCCGTTACATAACCGAGGAGCATCTAAATTTTGCATTAGCATGACTGGGACGCCTAATTTTAATTGAAGCTTATGTGAGGGCACACCTGACAACTCTAGAGAATTTCGTGCTCCACATGGACCGTGAATCATATTTCGGACGATGGTATCATACAATTCTTTATCTTGCTCAGGATCCGGAATCTCGGCGCTTATGATGTCGTCTATTTGGCTGGCCCGCAACTTCTCTTTAAGCCATATTAGAATGTTGTAATTGAATACATGAAGCACTGCACCTCTCCGAAAATTTTCCCTTTGTTAATTACATACATTAATTTTTGTACTTTTAATCTAAATACTCTAGCAAATAAATCGTGTCTGTCAGTAATTTTTTGGCCCGGCATTAGCTCCTCGGTTATTTCTTTCCATGTGGGATTGCAAGTAAAAGTAACAAAAAGATCAGATCTTCCGTAAGTTCGTACATAGCCGAATGCGTCTTGTGTGTACTCATGTAGGTAGCGGGGACTGTTAATGAATGATGAGGGCAGAATTACCATTTTACCTAAATCTCTGGGGTTTACATTGGCGTCGCTACAAACTGCATCTTGTAAATGTATATAATTCTCAACGCGCAGCTTTTTTTGATTTAAAGATATATAACGGAGACGTTCACTTTCTACCTTCACATACATGTCTACCAAAAATTGATGAAATAATTGTCTACACCGGGCTGAGGTTAAAATCATTTTCTCGTAACATCATATGATACGCATAAAAATCCATACATGATACTTTTTTGTTCGGAGTAGGCTCCTTTGTGACCGGGTTAATGAGTGGAATTTGAAAATGATAACCCTCTTGTCCTTTGCAATAAATCAATGGGTATTGCAGAGCGTCATAAAACTTGTGTGTATCGGCTACCCGTTGCAACGTATCATCACGTGCTCGCAAGACAATGTCTCGTGAAATAAATTGATCACCATTAATTACGGCTGCTATTTCGTTTATCAAAGGTGGATTGTAGCGCCTTTCATGCTCTCCTCGAGGGTTCTGATCTGCGTGAATGACGACCTTATAATCCTCTTCAGGTAGGTTTTCTAAAGCAGTTTTAAATGTTTTGACTTAAATGTTACGTTCGTGCAAGAATCTTTGAATGTTGAACACTGTGTTTCTCTCAACTCCCTGGATAAATAGGCAGCGACGGTCTACCTCAATTTCTTCGTCATCCATAAAATATACTCGTAAAAATTTATGCTGTTCGTTTTCAGCTGAAAAAAGTGAACCTATTCTATGATAAATTTGCCCTTGCACCGTAAATGTAGGCGAAAATCCCGGCATTATTATTTCCCGGTCAACTCCGAAGGACGTCTTTTGAAAGCATGAGTTATATTTCCGGATCCTGTTTAAAAAGCGCCGTAACTCATTAGCATCATATAAAAAGAGAGTTTTCAAAGGTTCTTCTGGTTCCCCAAGTAACGGAAGAGACATTTTGCCATTGGAACAGCACATGCCTGCGGTCTCATCTTTCCATTTTAAAGCGCTGCAAAATCGACACGCCTTGTCCATCAGTCCGATAACAACTAACCTGTGATTTTTATAATCAATCAACGGATCATAATGCTGCGTCATTAAAAGCCGACCAATTGTTTCTTTGAAAATTTTGTCGACGTTCAGCTTGGAGCTGTGCATTTGCATCTCTTCGCGCCTGTGTCTGTTCTGGTGTTTCAGATGCCTTTATAGTAGATTGACGTTCAGCTTGCTCAATGAGTCTGTGTTGAGTTTCATCAGGTGTTTCCGCGGCTCTTAAGGCGGCCTGACGTTCCGCTTGTTCGAATAGCCTTTGCTGACTTTGAGCAGGTGTTTCAGTAGCTCTTAACTTAGATTAACGCTCTGCCT